ACTAAGGAATGGAGTTGGGTATTTTAGAAAATCTGACCATTAGATGAAGTTGTGTTTTGAGTTATAAATATATTTGTATGCAAAAGGAAAGGGATAATGGATTCCGAACTCAACTTGCCTTTTAATTGTTTTTAGACTCACTTCCAGTAATTAGGACATTTAAATTCTGCAATTATTTTAATTTTTATTCCTAGTTTTAGTTTCTCAGTTCTGTTCATTTATAAAATTAAATTCCAGTATTTTTAATTTCATTTTGTTTATAATTATGCACTTAGTTAAATTTTGTTATGGTTATATCCTATTTTTGGTGATCCAACTAGTGCTATTTTTGTGGGTTAGTACTTAGCATTAATCCTTGTGGACGATAATCTAATTTGTTACTTCAACGATTTAGTGCACTTGCCAAAAGTTATCATTTACTTATCACGACCACAATCTTTTTGGGAGACCTGCTTGGTGTACTTTTGAGAGCTTTTCTAGCATATAGGTTGTGGCGGACTCTGTAGATGCATTCCTCAGAGAGGATGATGAGTTGAGTACTGAGAACATAATTGAGATAAAAGGCTAGAATAGTGGTGATGACTAGTACTAGATCCTCAATTTTTGGATATGGGTTGTGACTACTTTGGGACTTAGTTTATTTTGGTTATGTAATTATCATTATAAGTCCTACATCTTTTGATTAATAGTTTGTAAATTATTATTACACTGATTACTTGTAAATGAAAGTTTAGTACCTTTATTTCCTTAATTGTTTTGGTATAATATAATTATCAAATTACATTTTTTTCTTATCTCATTCCATCATGATGGTAAATTTTGTGAATAGTTTTATTTATGGAAAAGTTTTAATTTCCTCACATTTTTATCACCTGTTATAAATAAAATTTATCTTATTTATTCTATTTCTATATGATATATTGCTTAATTTAAAAGTAAAAATCTAAGGATGTTACAATTTGGAATTAGAACAGTTCATCCAAATCGGACTGTGATATGGGACTAGTTCGTTTGTGTTGTGTACTAATCTAAAATGTTTATTGAATTTAGGTTAGTCAATAAGCATTTCCTAATCCTAATTTAATTATCTCTAATGAAATTTATTTGAACTAATACATCAAGTAAAAAAAATCTAAATATGATTCTCAATCTTAATATAATTAATAGAATTAAGCATTATTAAGATTAAATGTTCTTTGTTAATTGTGTATTAAGGAAATAATGGAATTTAAATATAATAAAGCATGCATATTAAAATACTATACAAAACTTAAATATTAGAATTGAGAATAAGAGAAAACAAATCCAAATTCAATTAAGAATAAAACTTTAAACTTTATTATCGTTATTAAATTGTAGAGTCAGTTATCAACTGTTAAACTCTCTAGGTTTAGATCCACGAATGTAGAAAAATAAATCATAGAAGGAGAACATAAACCAAAGGAACAAAAATGGAAAAACTAATTCTAAAATTGAATTCTAATTAAAAAAAAGACCAAACAAAATTCAAAAGTAATTTAAAGGTAATTTGAAAGGTGGTAAAGCAGAGGGACCTAACCTTTTTACAATGCTCCTAATTAGTTTTTATCTTATTAATACAATTTTAAAATGGACTCCTAATAGAATAAATTATGTCCAATATAATTGTAATTTAATAATTTGTGTAAAGTTGCAGTGTTTTAACTTGCGCAAACAATATCTCAACTCCAAAATATTTTTTCTAAGAAATTACTTATCAAATTCAAATACTGAAAAAAAGTTTCTAATAAAATAAGAATCACTTCAACATTTAACCTGTAACTTAAAATATTCTATTTAAGTTGTGTTGTGTATGCTTAAAGTGTATGAATTATATATATATATATATATATATATATATATATATTGGAATGTGAGTATGAAAGCTATATGATTGCAGTATGACGAGCTGTATATAGTTTGAATGCTCTATTATGATGGTGCCGAGTTTGATGAGCAAAACGACTAGAACTTGGTTATTAAGTGTGTTGTATATGAAATAAGTTAGGAAATATAATCGAGAACCAATATAATTTCATCTGAGAGATAAATTGAGAGTTCGGAATGTAGGGTGTCTTGCTCAAGCAAGAAGTTGTCGTGCAGAATTAAGAACACCAGAGTGTTCTCGCTCAAACGGGTTAGTCTTTCTTAAGCAATAGCAAATAGGATCACCCCAACTGTCCCCTCACCTAAGCGAGAAGGAGTCTTGCTCAGGCGAGAACTGATCTTGCTCAAACGACAGGTTCTCGCTCAAGCGAGATGTCGCAAGATTAATAAGTAGGTCTCTGGATGCAATCTTGCCCAAGCAAGAACCCTTCTCGCCTAGGCGAGATGTAGCTTACTTAAGCGACGTGTTGCTCACTCAAGCGAGAATATCAGAAATTTGAGAGGTTCCACTATCTGGTTTTCTCGCCCAGGCAAGGGTTGGCTCGCCTAGGCGAGAGTAGTGCTCGCTCAAGCGAGAAGTAGCTAGCTTGAGTGAGAGCGCACGCTAGAGGGGTATTTGAGGGGCCTTAGTGCTCAGAAACTTCATTTTCTCACCAGACAACTTTTCTCTCTCAGTTTCTCTCTGTTCTTTCTCCTATTACTCTTAGAGAAAACTTCCTCAAAGCCGAATTCCTTCCTGATCAAAGTGAGATATGTTACCTCATTGAGGTAAAGGTGAGTTCTCGGAGCCCAGTTCTCAATTTTTTCCTTGTTTCTTCTCTCTCTTTCTTAAGGGACTTAAATTGGGTTATTTTGAGTAGATCTGAGCCTATCAAGCTTATTCCACATCTAAATGGTCGATTTCTCTATGAAACTCCCAAAGAGCTTTGTTTTAGAACTCATTCTAGGTAAGTGGAGCTTATCTGAGCTGATTTATTTGTATAGTGAATATGGAGCTAGTTATGAACTTGATGTTGATGTAGTTGAGAAATAAGTTGTGAGTGGCCATATTCTAGATTAGAATTCAGATCAGTATAGCTGTGTAGTTTTTCTCAGTTGTTTAACTAAGCTGATTTAGCTTATATGATGAATAACCTTGGTTAGCTGAGAATCATTGTATGGACAAGTTTTAGGGTAGAAAATCAAAGTATGTATGATTGAGTGTATTTCTTTGTTGTATGATAATCGTTTGAATAGCTGTGGTAGAATATGATGTGCTGTAATGCTGTGTTGTATATGCTGAGGATATCAAAATAAGCGAAATACTAAGTTGTGCTGTGAACATATGTATTGTTGTTTTGTTGAGACTATGAAAGTACATATGGCTGTAATGTGGAAGCTAAAAATGAAATGTTGTTGTGCTGTAATATGATAATTTAGCTGTATTGCATCACATTTATTATCATCTTAGAGCTGCCTAAGACATTTAGCTGAGCTATTCTGTGTCTGGATCCCGATACCGAGATGGGTCGCTCCCAGACCGGAAAACAGTTCCTCTACAATACTTAGGTTGTGAAACTAGATGAAAACTAAGATTGTTGTATTTTCATTTAGATGGGCTAGATATGCTACATTATTATATTAAAGCTGTGTAATGTTGTGTGCTGACAGATATGAGTTATTTGCATAAAGTCCATCTATATTTACATATATTTCATTAATAAGGTTGTCAATTATATAAGCTCACCCTTGCATTTTGTTGTTTTGGTATGTGTGTATGTTGCGATGATCGTACGATGGTACGTGAGCAGAAGGTACAGTAGATGCATCCACTTCTCAAGTTGGATGGTCTGGCTCAGAGATTCTAGAGTTAGCATTTTGGAAGAGCTTGAAGTTAATCATTTTGTTGGTCTAGATTTGAGTATTAGGCCTGACCTAGAAGATTTCCAATTTGTTAATAGATGTAATTATGCGTTGAATACTTGTACTTTGAGATCCCTAATGAATCATTATGTTGTAGAGATACATATAAATTTTATGTAAATTATTGTGTTACATGGAAATATCCAAAAAGTTTCTTTATTTTTTTTTATGTGAGTGCAAAAATTCAATTTTGCTATAAGGTTATGCTTTTAAACTTATTTATATAATATTCAGTGAATGAAAAATTAATTAAGAATGGCAATGCGAAATGTCATTGATTCATTATAAAAAAAAGAGATCGTCACATTTTAGTGGTATTAGAGCAATGGTCTAGGTAAACCTACGGGGTGAGGTTACTAGGCTTCAGATTTGGCGTTATGAGTAAGGAGTTTTAGCTATGAATCATAGGCCAAAGTCTTATAATCTGTTGATTATGTGGGAGAACAAGCTTGATCACTTATGTTCTCTAGCATGATAGATGTCAGGAATTTTTGGCTTATGAGACTTGGGTGAGCTATAGGCAGGCTGGGTGACTAAGTAAGATGTTGTTAAGCTAAGCTGTGTGAAATGGTCAAATAAGCTTTGTTTTGTTGTCTGCATTAAATTATAAATAATAACGTGATGCTGTGCTGAATGAGTTAAAATATTTTATAAGTCTGCTTTTATATGTTGTTATATGTTGAGCTTGTGCATGTGCTATGTTGATATGTACTGGAGTGTATCTTGTTGTAAATGTGTTTGTTGAAGTGGATTAATTGAATAGCTAAATAGTCAATTTGAGATATGGGTTGCTATAGATATTTTAAGTTGGTTTTGTTTTGTGACTAAGATGGCAAGACCACCTAGAAGACCTACTTCAAATCTGCCTCCACCTGACTTAAACTAGATGGCTCATGCTATAGAGGCTGTGGCAACTGCCGTGAGGCAGAGTTTGGAGGTAGTCCAACAGCAGCAAGCTACGAGTTAAGCAGCCGCTGTATCTCAGGTAGCAGCAACAGTTGCTGCCACAGCAGTATCGCCACCTAAGTATCAGGGGCTATCAAAATTTAGGAAGAGTGAACCCCCTCAGTTCACCGGAGTTGACAGACTAGATGCAGCTGAGCTCTGGACCTGAGAGATTGAGAAGATATTTATTACCATGGGATGTGTTTAGGATAAGAAGGTTATTTATACTGCATATATGTTGGTAGGAGATGCAGAGATGTGGTGGCATGGGGGCTCATACTATGTTAGAGGCTCGCGGTGAGGCTATTACTTTGGAAGTATTCAATAGTAGCTTCCAGGGAAAGTTCTTTCCACCTCATGTTCGTGCTGCAAGAGAAAGAGAATTCCTGAGTTTGGTGCAAGGGAACTCATCTGTTTACGAATATGCTATCCAGTTTGAACGACTTTACCAATTTTATTCGCATCCAACCTCTGAGGAATGGAGATGCCAGAGGTTTTCTGGTTGGTTAAGGACAGATATAAAGAAAACTTTGATTCCGTTGAGGATTACGAAATTTGCTGATCTGGTGGATCAAGCCACCATTATTGAGAGCTTCAATTTAGAGGATGTTGGTGGGGCAGGGAAAGCTCAGTTTAGCAGACAGGCTAGTAGCTATGGAGGAAATATGGGTGCCACAAAAGGCTCTTATAGCAGACCATATCGCCAGCAGCAGTTTCGGCCTTCTCAATCTAAGGGAGCTACGTCATCAGCTCCTAGACCAGTGGGTACCGCCACCTCTGCTTTTCAGCCTAGAGGAGCATGTGCACCATATTTTAGAGCTCCAGCCCCTACGACAGTGAGATGCTTTTGGTGTGGAGGACCACACTACCTGAATTAATGCCAACAAGCTGACACTAGGGTCTGTTTTTCATGCCGACAGTCGGGGCATCTTGTTAAGGATTGCCTTACTTCTCGTAGTGGAGCAGCATCATTAACTGCTAGTGCTTTACATGCTGTGAGACCTAGAGTAGTTAGGGCTCTACCAGTGACTAGACCTAAAGCTGAGGCCCGTGTGTTTACTACCTCTGGGACAGAAGCTGCACAAGCTATGGATCTTGTTCAAGGGACAGAAGTGGTGGTAGGTACATCACTCTCCGTGCTTTTTGATTCCAGAGTCATGCACTCCTTTATTGTGGATACTTGTTTGAAAGATTTGAAATTACCTGTTAGTGATTTGAAATGTGATTTAGTGGTGACGACACCCACATTGAACTCGTTAACGACTTCGATAGTGTGTATCGAATGTCCTATAATAGTTGAGGGACAGGAGTATAGGGTTAATCTTATTAGTATTCCTATGTCGGGCTTGGATATAATTCTGGGCATGGATTGGCTAACTGCCAATCATGTTCTAATCGATTGTGCCTAGCGATGTATAATTTTCCCTATATAGTAAGACTTACCAAAGACGATTCCTATAAGTCAAGTGGAGGTAGTTGTTGGTGAAGAGGCTTCATGTTTTGTTCTTTTAGCTATTATCAGTGTAGAACAGAAGTAGGAACGTCAATTAATACCAGTGGTACGAGATTTTTTTGAAATATTTCCTGATGATATTCTTGGGATACCTCCACCCAGGGAGATTAAGTTTGGCATAGACATAGTACCTGGAGCTGAGCCAGTATCTATAGCACCTTACTGGATGGCGCTGAGAGAATTGATGGAGCTAAAAAATCAGATTGAGGATCTGATGTAGAAAAAGATGATTAGGCCAAGTGTGTCACTGTGGGGAGCACTGGCCCTTCTTGTGAAAAAAAAAGATGGAAGTTCAAGACTTTGTGTAGATTATCGTTGGCTGAACAAGTTAACTATCAAGAATAAATATCCATTACCGAGGATTGATGATCTGATGGACCAGCTGAAAGGTGCTAAAATATTTTCCAATATTGATTTAAAGTCTCGATATCATCAAATCTGAGTTAACAATGAGGACGTACCAAAGATAGCTTTTCGTACTGGGTATGGGCATTATGAGTATGTGGTGATGCCTTTTGGAGTTACTAATGCCCCAACAATATTTATGGACTACATGAATCGAATCTTTAGACCATTTCTGGATCGGTTTGTAGTAGTATGTATTGATGATATCCTTATCTATTCTAGTTCAAAGGATAAACATGCTGAACATTTAAAGATTGTTTTGGAGATTTTGAGAGAAAAACAATTGTATGCCAAATTGTCCAAGTGTGAATTTTGGCTAGAAGAGGTGAAATTTCTTGGTCATGTGATCTCAGCTGAAGGGATTGCAGTTGACCCTTCCAAGGTAGAATCGATGTTAAAGTGAGAAAGACCTAAGACAGGCACAAAAATTTGTAGTTTTGTAGGCTTAGTAGGTTACTATCAAAGATTTATAGAGGGATTTGCAAAGATTGCCTCGCCTTTGACAAGACTGACTCGTCAAGATCAACCTTTCATTTGGACGAAGAAGTGTGAATAGAGCTTTAATGAGCTAAAGCAGAGGTTGACATCCTCTTCAATGTTGATTCTTCCTGACACCAACCGACCTTTTGAGTGTACTGTGATGCATCACATCAAGGGCTAGGATGTGTATTGATGCAAGATAAAAGAGTAGTGGTGTATGCATCGTGCCAGTTGAGAACTCATGAGCAAAATTACCCCACGCATGACCTAGAGCTAGCTGCAGTAGTGTTTGCTCTAAATATCTGGAGACACTACTTATATGGAGCACAGTTTAATGTATACAGTGATCATAAAAGTCTTAAACATTTGTTTGGTCAACAGGAATTGAATATGAGGCAGAGGCGTTGGATGAAATTCCTTAAAGATTATGAGTTTCAACTTCAATACTATCCAGGCAAAGCTAATGTAGTAGCTGATGCTTTGAACAGAAGTGTGGTTCAGACTTTCTCACTAAGAGTTAGTGAGTCTCTTTTAATAGAACAATTTAGCAATCTGAACTTACACATGGAGATGGTACCTAGAAAGATCAGTTGTGGCAAGCTGGTAGTGACTAATGAATTCCTACAAGAGGTTAAGGATAAACAATTGTGAGATACTAGATTATGCTAGATTGTATTTCTTTTGGGCACAGATAGTGCAGTTGGCTTTAATATAGGTGCTGATGGTATTCTTCGATACCATGACTGAATCTGTATCCCTAGAGGAGCTGAGTTGAAAAGGAAAATTTTAGAGGAAGTACATATGGGCAGTTTAAATCTCCACCCTGGAGTAATAAAGATGTATTAAGATTTGAAACGAATGTTTTGGTGGCCGAGCATGAGAGCTAAAATAAGCAGATTTGTCAAAGCCTCGCTAACTTGTCAAAAGGTAAAAGCAGAACACCGTTGTCCACCTGGAGAATTACAGACCATGGAGATCCCTGAATAGAAATGGGATGGTGTAACTATGGATTTTGTATCCCATTTGCCAAAGATTGTTAGAAACCATGATTCTGTATGGGTCATAGTTGGTTGATTGACTAAGTGTGCTCACTTTCTATCAATTAATATGACCTAGTCCATGGAGAGACTTGCTAAGTTGTATGTCAAGGGGATTGTTAGGTTACATGGGGTCCCTTCTAGCATTATCTCTGATAGGGACCCTCGCTTCACTTCTTAATTCTGGCAAAGTTTTCAAGTAGCTTTGGGTACCCAGCTGAAACTGAGTTCAGCATATCACTCTCAAATTGATGGTCAATCGGAACGAATTATTCAAACATTAGAAGATTTGCTGCGTGCTTGTGTTATATTGATCAGAAGGGTAATTGGGAGGACATGCTTCCTCTTGTGGAGTTTACTTATAATAATAGCTATCATTCAAGCATTGGCATGGTGCCTTTTGAAGCTTTGAATGGCAAAAGATGCCAAACTCCAATTTATTGGTTCCAAGATGAAGTTCACTTAATGATTGGACCTGAGATGCTTTAGAAAACTATAGAACAAGTTAAGCTAATTCAAAATAAATTGAAAGCAACTCAAAGTCGTCAAAACTCGTATGCTGATTAGCGCCAGAGACCTTTGTAGTTTGAGGTGGGTGATCACGTGTTCTTGAAAGCATCAAGAACTACGAGTGTAGGACGAGCTTTGAAAGCAAAGAAGATGAGGCCTAAGTTTATTGGACCATATAAGATATTGTATCGTAGAGGACCCGTAGCATATGAATTGGCACTACCACCTCAGCTAGTTGGGTTACATAATGTTTATCATGTATCATAGCTGAGAAAGTATATTCTAGATCCAACCTATTTGATAGAGCCAGATACTGTGCAAATAAGAGATAACTTTTCAGTTAACCTTCCAGCTGTACATACTGAAGACAATAAAGTTAAAGAACTAAGAGGTAAGTCAATTCGACTAGTGAAAGTTGTTTGGAATCCAATTATTGGTGATGCTACATGGGAGTTAGAGGATCGAATGAGAGAGCAGTATCCTCATCTCTTTGATGATGAATGAATTTTCGAGGACAAAAATTTACTTTCAGGGGTAGAATTGTCAGATCGGTGTATTTATCATTCTATTGAATTGTACTATGTATGCTTAAAGTGTATGAATTATATATATACATACATACATATAATATATATATATATATATATATATATATATTGGAATGTGAGTATGAAAGCTATATGATTGCAGTATGATGAGTTGTATATAGTTTGAATGCTGTATTATGATGCTGTCGAGTGTGATGAGCAAAACGACTAGAAATTGGTTATTAAGTATGTTGTATATGAAATAAGCTATGAAATATAATCGAGAACCAATATAATTTCATCTGAGAGATTAATTGAGAGTTCAAAATACAGGGTGTCTCGCTCAAGCGAGAGAAATCTCGCTCAAAGGAGAAGTTGTTGTGCAGAATTAGGAATCCTGAAGTGTTCTCGCTCAAGAGAGATCAGTCTTGCTTAAGCGAAAGCAAATACGATCACCCAGTTATCCCCTCGCCCAAGCGACAAGAAGTCTCGCTCAAGCGAGATGTCGCAGGATTAATAGGTAGCTCTCTGGATGCAATCTTTCCTAAGTGAGAATGCTTCCGCCTAAGCGAGATGTAGCTTGCTCAAGCGAAGTGTTGCTTACTCAAGTGAGAATATCAGAGATTTGAGAGGTTCCATTGTCTGGTTTTCTCGCCCAGGCAAGGCTTGGCTCGCCCAGGCGAGAGTAGTGCTCGTTCAGGTGAGAAGTAGCTCGCTTGAGTGAAAGCGCGCGCTAGATCGGTATTTAAGGGCCCTCAGCACTCAGAAACTTCATTTTCTCACCAGACAGCTTTTCTCTCACAATTTCTCTCTATTCTCTCTTCTATTACTCTTAGAGAAAACTTCCTCAAAGCCGAATTCCTTTCCGATTAAAGTGAGATATGTTATCTCATTGAGGTCTAAGTGGGTTCTCGAAACCCAGTTCTCAGTTTTTACCTTGTTTCTTCTCTCTCTTCTCAAGGGACTTAAATTGGGTTATTTTGAGTAGATTTGAGCCTATCAAGCTTATTCCACATCCAAACGGTCGATTTCTCTACAGAACTTCCTAAGAGCTCTGTTTTAGAACTTATTTAGGTAAGGGGAGCTTGTCTGAGCTGATTTATTTGTATAGTGAATATGGAGCTAGTTATGAACTTAATATTGATGTAGCCGAGAAATAAGCTGTGAGTGGCCATATTCTAGATTACAATTCAGATCAGTATAGCTGAGTAGTTTTTCTCAGTTGTTTAACTAAGCTGATTTAGCTTATATGATGAATAACCTTGGTTAGCTAAGAATCATTGGTTGTATGGACAAGCTTTAGGGTAGAAACCCAAAGTATATATGATTGAGTGTATTTCTTTGTTGTATGATAATCGTTTGAATAGCTGTGGTAGAATATGATGTGCTATAATGTTGTGTTGTATATGCTGAGGATATCAAAATAAGCAAAATACTGAGTTGTGCTGTGAACATATGTATTGCTGTTTTGTTGAGACTATGGAAGTACATATGGCTATGATGTTGAAGCTGAAAATGAAATGTTGCTATGCTGTAATATGATAATTTAGCTGTATTGCATCACATTTATTATCATCCTAGAGCTGCTTAGGACATTGAGCTCAGTTGTGCTATGTTTGGATCTCGATACCGGGATGGGTCGCTCCCAGACCGAAAAATATTTCCTTTGGAATACTTAGGCTGTGAAACCAAATTGAAACTGAAATCGCTGCATTTGCATTAGATAGGCTGGGAATAGGCTGAACATGCTGCATTATTATATTGAAGCTATGTAATGTTGTGTGTTGACAAATATGAGTTGTTTAAAAAAAGTCCATCTATATTTACGTATATTTCATTAATAAGGTTGTCAATTATATAAGCTCACCCTTGCATTTTGTTGTTTTGGTATATGTGTGTGCTGTGATGATTGTACGATAGTACGTGAGTAAAAGGTACAAGAGATGCATCCAGTTCTCTAGCTGGAAGGTCTAGCTAAGAATGACAATGCGGAATGTCATTGATTCTTTATAAAAAAAGGGGTCGTGACAACATCAGTTCCATATTCGATGTAGATATAGGCGACGTAGAAAGTCCAGGACTTTGTACATCAGTTGTTAAAAACTGATGTAAAAAGTGTCACTGTCTACATCGATTGTTTATAATAACCGATGTAAAAAATGTTCTTAATGTTCATCTTCGCCAATGGCGTTAGTACTTCTTTTCTCTGAGAGTTTTAATGTTCGCGTCATTATTATCAATATATTTTCTTAAGTTAAACA